GACATGTTACATAATGTTGAAAATTATGAAAATGAGAACATGCAGCAAAAAATGATGGATGAGTTAAAATCTGAAGAAGTTTTTAAAATGACGTTTGATTCACACGAGGAGGCTGGAGAATTTTATAATACATATGGAAGATATGCGGGGTTTAGCATTCGAAAAGATGACCCCAAACATGACAAGAACCACATGGAAATCTCAAGAAGGTGGGTTTGTTCAAGAGAAGGGTATCGGTCCACACAGAATGCGGACCACGACGAACAAGTAAGGGAACCACGAGGTTTAACAAGGGTTGGATGCCTTTCAACTTTGCATGTGAAGTATGATAAGAAGATAGGAAAATGAGTTGTAAAGGATTTTGTTAAAGAGCATAACCATCCATTGGTTCCACCATGTGGCGTGCCATTTCTCCGATCACATAGGGGTGTTTAGAGTCCTGATAGAGCACATGCTACATCATTGCATAATGTTGGTATATGAACAAGTCAGATTAGAGATTTCATGTTGCAACAATCAGGAGGATATCAAAATATTGGATTTACCACAAAGGATTTGTACAATGATGTAGCATCCCAACATCGAGAAGAAATGAGGGATGGTGATGCCGAGAGCGCATTGGCATACTTGAGCTACAAGGAAGAGTTGGACTCGTTATTCTATTTCAAGTATAATGTCACTGAAGACAATTTGCTACATTGTTTGTTTTGGGCGGATTCGACTTCCCGAATAGACTACAAGTGTTTTGGTGACGTGCTAACGTTTGATACTATATATCGAACGAATGTTTATAAGAAGCCATTTGTGATATTTGCATGTGTCAATCACCACAATGCTACAAGTACATTTGGTTGTGCATTGCTTTCAAATGAGACTGTGGAAACATATGTGTGGGTGCTATCTACTTTTCTTCATGCAATGGATAATAAGATGCCGATCTCTGTTATTACAGATGGGGATAAAGCAATGGCTGCTGTAATAGAAATAATATTTCCACAAGTAACACACCGCTTATGTAGGTGGCATTTGGCCCGAAATGCTTTCACAAATATAAATTCTGAAAATTTTGTCCAAGCATTCAAGAGATGTATGTGCACTCGATGTACACCTGAAGATTTGAAGATTTATGGAAATCAATGGTTGAATCATTTGGTCTGGAGACTAATAATTGGATTGCTGAAGTTTATGTAAAGAGATTCAAATGGGCCGAAGCATACTTACGGGGGATATTTTTTGCAGGACGAACAAGTATGCAACGGTTTGAAAGTTTGAATGCATACCTAAATCATTTCTTAAAAATATTTTAAAGACTGTTTGTGACACCCCAAAATCCGGGGGTCCGTTGATTATCCATCAACCCGTGGAATACCCGTGGATACCGAGTAGCTCGATATCACACTGTTATGCCCCATTTACCGAGGTCCTTAATTTAACAAAATTCGGGCAGAGTCTCCTTTGTACAGGGAGCTCTACCCAAAACACAACCTGTGCAATATACATTAACATGACCCGTCCGAGGCCCCATATAACGCAATGACCACACAAGGTCCATTTATAAGTAAAACTTGACCACACCGGGTCCAATTATAATTAAACATTGGCCACACCGGGTCCAATCATCCATATTTATATCAAAACATGCAAGGTTAGTTTAACAATAGTCCATATAAGTTCTATTACAATTTAAAAGATGACATACTTAAAACATTATTTTCACAAATATTTTACATCAAAACAAAATAAAGCCACATTCGGCTTTCTTCAAACATATGGGTCCAAATTTGAGCCATCCACCGGTGTACCTCTCCCACCTGAAATATTTCCCATATAGGGTGAGCTAACGCTCAGTAGAAAAAATCCTACAGAGGCTACTCCCCACCTAAAATGCGTATACAATGCGCACATACCACAAACAACTTCTTCCAAATAAGAATATGTTATTCAATATAGAATCTCATGATGTCATGCCAAGTAATGAGATGAAACTCACTCATGCATGCTATTCCGAGCCCACACCGACTCCCACAACACAATGCGACTCATATGTGTAAAACAAACGTCTTTGATGAAACACATCCAAAGATCATTTTGAAATCAACCATATGTCATAAAACCAATTCATTCTTGGATGTTTCCCATCAAATGAATAATTTATATATCAAAATCATGTGCCTTTATGGGGTATCGGATTCAGGAATCGCACCTCCGGCTCCGTACGCCGTTACACTTTTCTGGAATTTCACCGCCGGTAAGTGTATGAACCAAGTGGTCGGGTTTTTCACCCGAGGGAGTGTCTAGCCCTACTTGCTATACCCGACACAAGTTTTCTTATGCATGTCACCGTGCGACTCCGTAGGACATTCCATCCCACTTTCCCGAGCCTACCATCAAGAACCAATGTTGGTGTTGATCACCCCATGCAACCCTACACCCACACTCATGCATGTAGCCCATGAATGTGATGTTAATTCCATGTCCATATTGCAATGCATGCCAAATGACAATTTTTAAATATCATTGTATACCATGACAATTAATATCATTTGCATATAATCACATAACCATTTCAAGTTCAATATATCCAAGAGCATATATCAACACTCCATCAACATGATAACACATAATACATGCTAATATTACATTTCATTCACAAGGCATAATATAAAACACAAAGCATGCCCACATGATCCCAATTTTCAAGGGATTACATAAATACTTCCATATACCAAAATCAAGCCAAGATTTTATATGGATCATTCAAACAAAATAAAAATCAGAATATATGATTTTTATATAACCAATTATCTAAACATTCAAGAAATCACAAACTAGCACTTTCTAACTACCAATTCACACTAGAATTGATCCTACCCATTTCCATAGCACCAATCATAATGGAAAAATATTAGAAATACCCAAAACAGCCCACATGAACCCTATGGACACCTTAGGTTAGAAATAGGTCCGAGTAGGAGGAACCCTACCTCTTGAAGCGTAAAGAATTTGTAGGAAGCCTCAAGAACAAGATTGAAGCCCAAAGCTTAGATTTCTCCAAAATCCTCCCTTTGAATCTTCGGTGAAAATCTTTGTTTTTGGTACCCACGCGTAGCTCTCGTCGCGTAGATCGACTTTAATTCTTGGCCCGACGAATTCCGACCGACGGAACTCCGAGAATCGGCGAAAGAAAGCTTGAAGAATTTTATTTTTTCTCCTTAGCTCTTTGGTTTGATCCAGCCGGCAGCAAATGAAGAAAATGAAGAGCAAATATCTGATTTGCTCACTTTTATACCTTCTAAACACTTGGCCCTCGTCGCGCCAAGTGTCATCCTTTGTCCGGGTCCGTTTTCATCCCGAAACGATTAAATTTCGTACCGATTTAAACTCAAAATATTTTATATGAACTTTATTTAAAATATTTTTTAAATTTTCAAATTTTTATAAAAATTTCGTTTTTAGGGGTCATCGAACACCCGTCACCTCGAAAAACGTGAAAAATCTGACTATCTCAGAATTCGACGAAATTTGTCTGGGTAACTAGATTTCGTGAGACGAATCCAACGGTGAGGTCCGTTTCATCATCCGAGGTCTATAAAAATACCAGTTTTTTTTTAATTCACACTATAATGGCAAATTACCATTTTCCGTTTTTTTTTTTCAGAAAAAGTTAAAATTTTTCCTGGGTTTCACACTATTTGAGTTTGTTAGGTAGTATGATAGGGGCTTGGCAAGAATCAGAGAGGTCGAGGCCAATGAGGACTACGAGTCAGAACACTCCGAGCCAGTGCTCACAACAACACTTAAATTCTTAGAGGAGAAAGCTTCCAAGATATATACCAAAAAAATGTTCTTCAAAGTTCGTGATCAATTGAAAGATGAAGCTCTATTTTTTGTAGTGGATAAAATTGAGAGCATAACACATCGGAGTTACTACTTGTCTCGGTTTTCACAGCCTGAATCTAGGTGGATTGTTCAATAGTATCCTGGCATTCATACGTTTAAATGTAATTGCATGAAATTTGAATCTATTGGGATTCCCTGCTCTCATACGATTGCCATCATGAAGTGTGAGCACCTCAAAGAGTTTCCCCCAAGCATTGTGATGAAAGGTGGATAATTATTGCGAAATTCGATTATCAAACAAATGATGTGTTGCATACATTGAGTTTCCCATCAGTTTCTAGAAGATATGTTGGACTCATGTCTATGTGCAGCAGAATGTGCTACTATGCTTCACAGTTAATTTCAAAAACAAACGACGTGAGAAATATGGTGCATCAGCAAACGTCTGCTCTACAAGCCCATCACGTGTCAGCAGCTAGAGGTTATGATGAGTCTCAAATATCCCATTTCAACATGAATGTGAAAAATGGAAAATTTGGCGTGGGTGACCCAAAATTTGTGAAGACTAAGGGAAATCCAAGACGGGTGCCATAGAACATTTCAATTACCCCACAAAGGTGCAGTAAATGTAGGGGTATCAGACATACTGTTAGAAAATGTCCACTAGTTACTCCCTATTTGAATGATCCACATGAGAACATGCCATTTTCACATCTGGATGAATCGGAGTAACCACACAATCTCCATTATTTTCCTCATGCATCACAAGAACCGGTGCTTGAGATGCCATTCTCACATCCTGGTGGATCACAACAACCCTTGCCAACATATGAAGATGAAGACAATTGGACTCCTTTTTGAATGGCAAAAGTATGTTTCCTACTCAACATTTTGTGTGCATCAACATGCATCAAGAAACCAACTGCATTGTGTATTCCTAGGATTATATTACAAACATAGCATCGCCAAACATCATGACATCCACTTTGAAATTACATAGCATCAAAAAAACACCATGACATCCAGTTTACATTTACATACCATCAACAAAATACCATAACATCCACTTTCAATTTACATACCATCAACAAAATTACATAGTAAAATTTACAATTGAACAACTAAAATGTTATCTACAATCCAACCACTAAAAAAGAGTACTACTCATTTTTGTTTTGAGTTAACAATTTATTCTTCAACTGTTTCAGAGACTCTTTGGTGTCTTCCCGGAGCTGCCTGAGAAACTCATTGGTGTTANTGGTGTCTTCCCGGAGCTGCCTGAGAGACTCATTGGTGTCAACACGGAGCTGTTTGAGAGACTCCTTCATTTCTTGCTGCAACTCCTCTTGGTTTGCCAAAATTTGTTTAAGCATTTGTACAATATCCCCTGAAGTACTTGCCCCAATATCATAATCATCTAGATCATATGCATCAGTTTGCCCCAAACTCTTTTTTAATGTGCATTCACCAAATGGACTCAAAGGGGACTTATAAGTGTTGGATGGGTGAATGACAGCTCCATAATGCATCATGATCTTTGAAATTAAGATCGGGAATGGGAGACTTTTTTGCTTACCTTCAACATCAAACGCTGAAACAATTTCATTAAATATTAGACAAGGGAGATCTATAATTATCCCTTTCCCAATGGCATAGAGTAGATGAGCTCTATCAACTCCAAAATTAGCACTGTTTCCTCTCGAATTAATATTACATCCCACTATACGGTTTAAAATCCTATAATTGTTAGTGAGATATCTTTGATAAAATGTGTCTATGTTCAGCTTAAAAGGTCTACCATAAAGTTCTGTTGCAACATCCTCGATGGTAGGTTGATCATTGGGATTCTTGTATGGGTATGTCACAATATTTTCAACAATAAAGGGTGAGGGAACCTTCAATATCCTTGAAATCAAATTCCGATTCAATTCAAAATGTACATTCCTCATATAAGATTTAAACTTCAAATCTTCCTTCTCAACATCATGCATATTTGCATAAAATATTTTCACTAATCCATCATAAGCTTTATCGTTCTTATCTATTTCAACTATAGAATTCCATTGTCGCAAACCAAAAATAAGAGCACAGTCTATANTTCAACAATAAAGGGTGAGGGAACCTTCAATATCCTTGAAATCAAATTCCGATTCAATTCAAAATGTACATTCCTCATATAAGATTTAAACTTCAAATCTTCCTTCTCAACATTATGCATATTTGCATAAAATATTTTCACTAATCCATCATAAGCTTTATCATTCTTATCTATTTCAACTATAGAATTCCATTGTCGCAAACCAAAAATAAGAGCACAGTCTATAGTTGTCATCTTATCTAACTGGGCACCACGTTCTAGTAACACAGGCCTATTACAAAACCTATTATGATAAACCTCTTCACTAATTCTGTTGAAGAAANAACTATAGAATTCCATTGTCGCAAACCAAAAATAAGAGCACAGTCTATAGTTGTCATCTTATCTAACTGGGCACCACGTTCTAGTAACACAGGCCTATTACAAAGCCTATTATGATAAACCTCTTCACTAATTCTGTTGAAGAAAGTATTTACCAGAATGGATGAAGTTACCATATTTGGGTTGGATGAACTTACCAAATTTAGGTTTGATGAACTTACCAAATTTGGAAGAGAGGAGGAATGATCAACATTTTTATTTTGTTTTGGATGAGATGGATGAACTGGCTTTGGACAACTGGAGGAATCGACCACAATTGGAGGTTTTGGAAAATTAGAGTGATCACCAACCTGTTTACTCTTTATTTGCCCAATTCCACCTATATCCACTTTTGGCCAATACTTTCCCTCAGCCTTCCTCTTCTTCTTTATTTCCATTAAAATTATTGTTGAGCTCAAACGTTGTTCTGTTACATTACCAGAAAATAGGTACATACCTAATCAAACATAATTAATCTATAGAAAATAAATATGGAACAGTTGACATCCTCACACACATACACACAAGACTCGTCGCATACACACGCTGACCACACACATTCATATGTTATAGAATACTTACTTGTAGTGAGATTTGAAGCGTTTTGGAGTTAGGGTTTGGTAAAGATCGATTGGCTGACTTGTTCTTCTTGAAACTTGTTCTTCTTTAAATCAATTGAATTTCGAATGTTTGAAATCGATCACTTGTTCTTCTTTAAATCAATCCCTTGTTCTTCTTGAAACAAAGGGATTTTGAATGCTTGAAATCAAAGGCGTTTTGGAGGCTTTTTGGAGTTAGGGTTAAGGTTTTGGAGTTAGGGTTCGCTCACTTGTTCTTCTTGAAATCGATCAAGGGTTAGGTTCAATGCTTGAGTCGATTTGGCTTCAGGTGTGAACGGTGGAATGGTCTAGTTGAGACACACTCACAGGTCCTTTCCTTCCTAATATGCCTGAGACACGCAACTCCTCCTATGTATGGAATGGACGATCTACTTCTTCTTGAGTAGGCCAAAAGAATAATATGAAGGGGATAAAGGATAAAAATGTCAAAAGTGTAATATGAAAGGGATAAAGTGTAATATGATAGCAGGATCAATCCACCATTCCCAAGACTGGTCTTAATTTAAATTACACTTACACCCCTAAACTATATCAATATTTTTATTTTTTCCTATCCCAACCCAAAATACTATAAACTAACAATCAATTGATTAAATTAACATCCAATTTCATCAAATTAATATTTAATTCATCAAATTAATACCAAATTAACATTTAATTCATCCAAATAAATATTCAATTCATCAAATTAACACTAAATCGACATTCAATTCATCTAATTAACACTCAATTTATCAAAATTAATATCCAAAATAATTCAATAAAAATTAAATTTATCAAATCAACCAAAGTAATATGAAAATTAATCAAATAAAATTAACATTACATTTCATCTAATAAACATTCAATTAATAAAATTAACATTTACATACAACTATTAACATTAAATTCATCCCATACCTATGTATTTGTCAAATTAACACCAATTGATGAAATCAATACCAAATATATATATTCAATTCATACAACTTATATTAATCCGGTGTTAGTTTGGTGAATTGAATGTTAATTTGGTTTTGATTTGATGAATTGAATGCTAATTTGATGTTAATTTGGTGTTGATTTGGTGAATTAAATATTTATTCAATACATTTTTATATTAATTTGGTCATGGTTTGATAAATTGAATTTTATTAGATGATTTTGGATGTTAATTTGATGAATTGAATGTTAATTGAATGATTTTGAATATAAATTGGATGAATTGATGTTAGTTTAGTATTAATTTGATGAATTGAATATTTATTTGATGAAATTGAATGTTAAGTTAATTTGATGAATTTATTATTTACTAGATGGAAGTGAATGTGAATTTGATGAATTGAATATTAATGTTGTGCTAATTTGATGAATTGAAAGTTAATTTAGTATTAATTTAAAGAATTGAATATTAATTTGGTGTTAATTTGATGAATTGAATATTAATTGGATGAAATTGAATCTTAATTTGATGAATTTAATTTTAAATAGTTAATTTAAATGTTAATTTATTAAATTGAATGTTTATTATATGAAATGTTAATTTGGTGCTGATTTGATGAATTAAATATTTATTGAGTGAATTTTTATATTACATTGGTGTTGGTTTGATAAATTTAATTTTTATTAGATGATTTTGGATGTTAATTTGATAAATTGAGTGTAAATTGGATGAATTTGAATATATATTGGGTAAATTGAATGTTACTTTAGTCTTAATTTGAAAAATTAAAATTTTATTAGATGGAATTGAATGTTACGTTAATTTGATGAATTAAATGTTTATTAGATAGGATTGAATGCGAATTAAATGAATGGAATATTAATTTGGGGTTAATTTAATGAGTTGAATGTTAGTTTATCGTTGATTCGAAGAATTGAATGTTAATTTAGTATTAATTTGATGAATTGAATGTTAAACAATTAATTTAAATGTGATTTTAATTTTAATGAATTGAAACCTCTACAAAAAAAGTTGGAACCCTTACCTATTTTTTTGGAACTTACCCCAAAAAAAGTTGGAACCTAGCAAAAAAGTTTGAACCCTACCGAAAACGTTAGAACCCTCCTCCAACAGTTAAAACCCACAAAAGATTATAATTCAATTCAAAAAAATTGAAACTCTGCTAAAAAGTTGAAACCTCTACGCCAATAATTGGAACTCCAAAAAAGTTGGAACCCTAGTTAAAAAAGTTGGAACACACCCAAAAGAATTGGAACCCTACCAAAAATGTTACCCTACCCAAAAAGTTGTAACCCTTCCCCCACAGTCAGAACCCACCCAAAAGTTATAATTCAATTCAAAAAATTGAAACCTTAGACAAAAAGTTGACACCTTGGGTTGGAACCTCCAAAAAAGTTGAAAATCTTCCCTCAAACGTTGTAATATTTACCCAAAAAAATTAGAATTCTTACCCAAAAAAATTGGAACCTATACCCAAAAAAGTTGAAACCCCTACCAAAGAAGTTGGAACCTACGCAAAAAAGTTAGAACCCACCCAAGAGTTGGAATCCCTACCAAAAAAATTGAAACCCTATGGAAAAATTTGGAACCCCTTCCCCAACAGTTATAACCCACCTAAAAAGTTATAATTCAATTCAAAAAATTGAAACGCCAAAAAGCTGAAACCGCTACCAAGAGTTGGAACCTCAAAAAATGTAACACCCCCCTCCACATGACATAATATTGTCCGCTTTGGGCCTATTGGCCCTCACGGTTTTGTTCATCCCAGTACCCCTAGGAAAAGGCCTCATACCATGTAAGGCGAGGGGCTTACATATAAGCCCAGCAACTTTTCCCTCTCTAACCGATGTGGGACATCAGGATCTCATAATCCACCCCCCTCAGGGCCGCACGTCCCCATGCAGCAGCTCGTCAGCTACCTGCCCGCCCACTACACGCGAGCACGTCAGGGGCCCACACTCGATCCAAGTGAGAGTCGGCTCTGATACCATTTTGTAACACCCCCCTCCACATGACATAATATTGTCCACTTTGGGCCCACTGGCCCTCATAGTTTTGTTCCTCCTAGTACACCTGGGAAAATGCCTCATACCATGTAAGGTGAGAGAGGGGCTTACATATAAGCCCAACAACTTTCCCCTCCGTAACCGATGTGGGATACCAGGATCTCACAAAAAAAGTTGTAACCTTTCCTCAAGAGTTGTAACCTCTATAAAAGAAAAAAGGTTGGAACTCGNCAAAAAAAGTTAGAACCCTAACCTATTTTTTTGGAACTTACCCCAAAAAAAGTTCGAACCCTACCGAAAACATTCGAACCCTCCTCCAATAGTTAAAACCCACAAAAAATTATAATTCAATTCAAAAAAATTAAAACTCTGCTAAAAAGTTGAAATCTCTACGCCAAAAAATTGGAACCTCCAAAAAAGTTGGAACCTAGCCAAAAAAGTTGGAACTCTAACCAAAAAAGTTGGAACACACCCAAAAGAATTGGAATCTTACCAAAAATGTTACCTTACCGAAAAAGTTAGAACCCTTCCCCCACAGTCAGAACCCACCCAAAAGTTATAATTCAATTCAAAAAATTGAAACTTTAGCCAAAAAGTTAAAACCTTGGGTTGGAACCTCCAAAAAAGTTGGAACCCTTCCCTCAAACATTGTAATCTTTACCCAAAAAAATTTGAATTCTTACCCAAAAAAGTTGAAATTTATAACCAAAAAAGTTAGAACTCACCCAAGAGTTGGAATCCCTACCACAAAAATTGAAACCCTATGAAAAATTTTGGAACCCCTTTCCTGATAGTTATAACCCACCTAAAAAGTTATAATTCAATTCAAAAAATTAAAATGCCAAAAAGTTGAAACTGCTACCCAAGAGTTGAAACCTCAAAAAAATTGTTAATCTTCCCTCAAGAGTTGTAACCTCTATCAAAATAAGTTGGAATCCGTACCCAAAAAATTAGAAACCTCTAT